TTACTGTTATGTATTTCATGCGCCCCACGTTTTTCGTTTTTCAATTTTTTTCTTAATTATTATTCTCCACTACTAAAACGTGGTTTTTAAAAATATTACTTTTTATTTTGAATTTTATATTTTTACTCTCTAATTTTTCAGGTCTATCTCAATTATTCAAAAATTAGTTTTTCCTTTGTATGATCATTATTTTTGTCAAAGGTCTTTTAGTTAACAATTTAAGGCACATAAAGCATTCGTTATTTGTCAATGTTTTGCTTTTGATGTCATAATACAAGTTAAGAAGTTATAATTAAGTTGTATTAAGCTTCATTATCTACTGAAAATTTCAATTAAACTACTCGAGTTTTAAAATAGCACTTTTCATCTGACAATAATACTGTGGAAATATAAATACTCAAAAGTTAAATGTCCTTTTTAACTTGCATATAAAATATGGAAAAAAATATCACGTTTACTTACTTGAGTAATATTTATGATTGCCTTTAAATTGATGTTGTAGGTCCTGGAACACAATTAAAAATAAGAAACATTAGTAACATTTTTAAATACATTTTCAGTCAAAATAAGTATAATTTCCATCTTATAGGAATAACTTGAACAAAATATATGATAATCAAATTATTTTCATTAAAATCCAATCTCTTTCCAATCCATTTAACTCGATCAATTTAACTCGAAAGATCAAAGTTGAAAATGGAGTTATCAATCTTAGACTATTAATTAAAATTACTCTTACGAATTTCGCTGAGGAAAAAAAATAGTACTTCCTATGTTGCACAGTCTGCATCAGTTTTGTTTTATACGGTAGAATTCTCTGATGTTTCGTTATTACTGATGCTTTTAAGTGATTTGAGTGGTTCACAAACTTTATTTTATTCCAGGGGGTGTAAATTTGTGAGAAAGAGATATTTTAGCTTGGAATTTTCTTATTTCATATAATTTTGTTAAAAATGAAATGATCTAAAATTCCCGAATTTAAAATTGCGTTACACAGTAAGAAAAGAAAAATGCAAGCACTGACAACATTCCTGTTGATTTGATCCTGAATTCGAACATGAACTCTGTTTCTCCCTTTCTTGAACAATATTCCATTATGTTAATCACTTCCTGATAGTTTTATGATCATGAATTTGATTTGAAGGACTAAGAAAATTGATTAGTTTTATCATAAAATTATCTATGAGAGGCTAGGGAGATTTAAACTATTTTAAAACATGAACCGTTGTAACAAGGAGAAAGATGGAGGGGAGGATTCCATTTCAAATTTGTAAATAAAATCATCAAAATTTATAATTTTTTTCTGTAAGCCATTAAAAATCTCCCTGATGCTACTTTTATTTAGAGATTGTGTAACATATTGATTAATGTCAATGGTCTCTTAAAATACCTGAATTGTCGATTTAATGCTTCAAAACCGTTTTGGTGGAGACCAGGAATAAATAGAAGCTTGGAATCCTAATTCTGGCACTATCGCTTTTCCGAATGTCTGTACTTACCTTGATTCTTGGCAGTAACGATAACAGAAAAGTAGCCAAATCTTAAATCGTATAATTTAAAATTAACCATATAATGTGAGTGCTTAAATAATTGGAACTAATTAATTAGAAATTTTAACATAGGATTTTATGAGTACAGTAACGACCACAAGGATTAATTTTAAAAGCATTAGCTAAGCCAAATCATGGTGTGAGGAAAACTCCGTAAGCTCCACTTCAGTCTTTCAAATTCTTTTTTTTTCTGCCCTTTATTAATATCAATAGCAATAATTGGCAACCTATGAGCTATGAATAATGTGAAAAGGATTATCCCATCAATATAATGTTTATTTTTTCTGCATTCATAGATAATACGTATTGTGAAATAGAAATAATAATACCCACCAGAACAAAAATGTTTGGAAAAAAAATTAAAGAAAATACTCATTTAAAACTATTTGCCATAGCTATCAAAGGTCGTTTTATTCGTTATCGTTTTATTGAAAAAACTCCAAACCAGTATATAATAAAATTTCTCGATCATTGTTTGAATCGAGTTCATATTTTAACACAAATTAAGCAACCTATAGTTTATAAATTTAAATACTTATTTTAGGTAAACATTATCTTCTAACATTCATTATATTTTCGTCGAAAAATTAAAGAATTTATTAAGTATATAAAATCGTACTCGTCAATGTCCTGCTCTGTCATGTTGCCAAAATCAAGGGGTTTCACAACAGCGGCATTATTTACCAACAAGTCAATAGGTCCGACACTCTCAATAACAGATTTTGTAGATTCCCAATTTCCAATGTCCAAGAAAACCGTTTTTATATTCTTGCTCTGAAACAAATGAATCAATTCTATTTATTTTTGAATGGATACTTAATAGAAAGACATGCTTTATTTAATACTAGGAGGCTTCGCTCCTTGCTCGCTGGCTCTCGCCAACCCCCAGAACTGCTTTCGCATTTCAGTTCGGATTGCTTCGCAATCCAATGCTCGCTTTGCTCGCTCATTGGATACGTTCTTAAGGTCTATCTTTTGTATACTTTTTTGAATACTGAAGTTCCGAAAACTTTTCACTGTAGAAAATTCTAAACCTGTACATTTCAATATTAATTTGAAATTGCAAACAGTTCACATATTTTTCTTAATCACGCTATTCTAAACCTGTACATTTCAATATTATAACTNTTTCTTAATCACACTATTCTAAATTTCAGTTGTTGAGAAAAGTAACTGTTGTAAGTTTTGTTTTAAAGTCTTTCCCACCAGAGGGTTAAAGCAATGTGTTGTAAAACAATATGAAATAGTAGTCGGCCACTGAACGCCGGATGTAAAGTATCAGCTTCGATAAAGATAATTTTGTATTTTTAATTCTCTGAAGCGTGCCACCCTAATGATATGGAATTTGTAAAATAAATGTATATATTTTTGAATTTTAATGAAGCTCATCATTTTGTGTTTTCATCAGTGTTCAGAAGCAGAACAACTATTTTTTATTTTATCACAAAAATATAAAATGTATAAAAAAAGAGTACGAAAATGAGTATAGTCATAGAAAAAGTTAAAATTATAATATAGTATTTGTCAGTTAAAATAAAACTTTTTGTTTAAGTCATTGTTAACAATTCAAATTTCTCCGAGGCAATTATTCTAAACCTGAATTTTGTTCTAAATGTCAGTATTCAGACACACAACAGAAGTTTAATATGAAGTTCTAAAATGCAAATCTATATATATATATATATAGAATTTCTTTGAAAACACAATTGTTAATTTGGTCATTTGGCGATACAACACTTATAGAATTGAAGGATTTGTTACGCCAAGCGCTCAGGTATCATAATTTTGATCTAGTTGCGCTTCTATGTCATTTTGATTTATGTTGCTAAGTTAACTTTCAAAAAATTCTATGGCTGGCAACAGCATTTTTATTTTTTAAGTTGTTTATTTTTATTTCTTTTAGAATTCGTTCTTTTTTTTAGCAAAATGTTTTTTAACCTAACAGAATTCTCTGCCGACTGTTCTCTCTATAAATGAAGAAAAGAAAGTAAATATTATTGCAATAATACTTCACAGCTCTTCTTGAATCCATCCTTAATTCTTAAACAGTAGCACATCATTAAAAGGCAGAATGCTTTGGTGTTTTCAAAACGTAAACAAAATAAAGCAAACGTTGCCACCGGAGGAAACGAAATACAGCCAAAATTTGGGAGCCACGTAAGACAATTATATATAATAGATTTTATAGGAAAAATTCATCAGAAAATATTCAACAACAAATTTGGTAATTTGGCATTGTTTATTTATTGGTTATTATAGATGGAAAATAACTCCACTTACAATTGTTTTTAATTCATCTAAATCTGATTGCGTGCGGCTGACAGCGACAACTTCAGCTCCACATTCAGCCAGCCTAATAGTCACTGCTTTTCCAATACCTTAGAAAAAACAATTGAATTGAAATAAGCTATAGCTATTTTATGCATTTTTCAAGCGTGACATTCTTTGATGATAATAAAACTACAAAGCATTTTACTGCATGGACGTGGATACAATTGGGCACTTGCAACTCGAGAAGAAGAGTACCGCGAAAATTCGATGGTTGTGCCTAATAAGGTGGTAGAGCATAGGCTTGGTTTATTATCCGCTGAATCTATTTTCGGATGAGTTTTAATTGGATACCTCCAAGCGAAACCACGTGAGCGTTTCAAACGTAATTAGCTGCTAAATCGCGGCATAAAGAGATGCCACGATTTACCCATGCGTGACACCGCTTGAAAGTATAAAAACGGTGCACAATTACTTTTGATCCACTGATCGGATTTTCAATCCCTGAGATGCAAGCTGTTTAATTTGAAGGCATAGCCTTACGTTGAGCAGATGATATTTTAAGTTCCAAAATTAGACACAAAACAGTGTTTTATTCTAATGAAGTTGCATTTTATAGCAAATTTCTTCAAACTTTTGAATATAACTAAAAAGGACAAATCCAAATTTAAACAAAAGCAATCTAGTTATGATTCAACGATAAAACTTCAAATTCGTCATATTTTTTAAGCGTTATTTCTTCAAATTAAAATTATTGCTTAAAACTTCGTAAAAATGTGCATATTTTCCAAGACAAAAATTTTTTGAAACGTTATAACAAATAAAAAATTTATTACTTTTGCATGAGATCAACTTTGAATAAATTAGTCATAGCCTTTTTTAAAACTTTTTGCGCATTTATGTATTTCATGTGGTATGTCCAAATACGCAAGAAGTAAAAGCAATATTTAGAAGCTTTAATTTTGCACTTTTTTCTAATTATTGGATAAGACATTTTAGAGACATACCGAGTCATATTTTGAGGGCTGTACAACCAAATCCAAAGGAATCAACAAAAAAATAGGGGGGGGGATAAAATGCATTTTTGTGTCTGGTAATTATTTAGTATTAGTTAATGGTTTGAAAGAAAAATGGAGAATCGTAGGAAAGTTATTAATTATTTGCAAGCTATTTGGCGTATTGCAAAAAAAAAAGAAATTAAAAATTTAGCTTTTTTAAAGCTTCCTATCGTAGTGAATTGAAGAATTTTAATGATATGCTAGTTAAGAATTCTCCCCGAAAAAAAAACTTTCATATTTTGCGTGCTCTATCTTTCCTGCTTTATAAATAGCGAACGTCATGAGCATTTTTTTCTTATTCTAAAAGTGAACTACGTTTACCACTGAAAAATGAACGCTAAGCATTCCTGTTACATATTAATTTTTCGAGGCTGAATAATGCTCTCGAATATTCCACATTCATCATTATAAGTCTCTCGCGAAAAATATATTTTATTTTAGCACGCTATATTAAAATCTTCGTACTTGAATATTTTAATGAACCATTTCTTTCAAGGTTAGTTTGTTATAATGATAATCAAAAACTTCCTTGTCTTTAATCATCTTGGTGTAAACAATTATAAAATCACCATGGGAAGAACCCATAAGAGAAAGTAAAAAACAAAAGTTTCATTATATCACACAAAATTTTAAAATCTGTATTACATACTTATTTTTTTTTCCTTTGGGATATTTCGATAAAACTACATCTTTTGAAAAGAAGTTAAGAGGCACCAAAAGAAGTAAAAAAAACCACTTAAGGGACATCATTTAAAAGAAAAATCATTCTTTGTAAAGTTTAAAAAAAAAAAAGAATACTGAGACAGGTATTCAAATACTTCAAAAACTAAACACTTAGATGGAAATAAAGATATTGCTCGTTTATTTAAAATTTACCTTAATTTGTTTCAGGAATATATTTTCAGAATATTCCTATGCCATGTTCAGAGTTTTGTTAAGATTGTTATATGCAACCAGTTGTCTTTTGCACTGAAAATCTGTGGTACCATGCAATATGTGACCTAAGTCCTAAGCAGCAACATTTAACTATTTAACCTAATACTTAAACTCTTTACCTGAACTAATCAAGGCAGAGTAGTTGAGAAAAAATTGTTTTATAGGATAAATTATTTCGCACTAAAAAAGACCCAGAATACATTAGATACTAAAAATTACTTCAGATATTTAACTCGAATCCTTCATTTTCATTTATACCCAGAAAATATTTTTGAAAATATCCTTCATAGTGCTGCTGCTAGGCATAGTTTACAATTTGTCTTAAAATATCACTAAAGTATAAAAAAAGACAATTAAACAATTAAAAAAATCAACTAAATTTACAATAAAGCATTCCATTACCTTTTCCTGCTCCGGTAACTAGAGCTCTTTTACCATCGAATTGGATATTCATATTTTCTTTTTATGAATTTTTATTGAAGTGAAACTACTATTTTACAGTTTAGGCAGGCTGTGGACTTTTTTAAACAAATATTCGAGAAATGGGAGTACTTAAAAATCGACCATTTCTTATCTTTTAATGCGTATGATAAAGAAAAATAAACATTTGAGACAGTAAATGTAGAGAAAAAAAGATTTTGTCTTTCATTAAGTGTTTTATCTTCAGATAAAGAGTGAAAGTATTTTTGAATGAATGACAATGTAAAAAATTGCAATGATGAAATAATTTGACTTTAAAAATTAAATGCTTTTGAACGTTTAAACGTTACAATGAGAGAAATGTTACAATTCGGTGAGTACAAAAATGTGAACTGTTAAAAATATTAAGTAGTATTTTTCTTCTTCAAAATTTTGAAATATTTTCCTCAAAATAATATCGATTTGCAGATATGTCCAGCATATGCAATAAATGTTAATGCTAGCGAAATAAAAGGCATATAACTTTGAATATTGAAAATGTTATTTCCTGACAAACTGTAAGACATTTCGGATAAAAATACCATATGAATTGCATGTACTAGGTTCGCATCGTCCGCAAAATCTATTTTATCGCAAAATCCATTTTACTGTAAAATGTTATATTGTAATTTTCACAGCAAAGTTTATTTAATTTGAGTTAGTCAGTTATTTTATGGTAATTGTTACTGTAAATATTACGATATATCAGATTTTTTTTGTTCCGTAACATGTTCTTGCAAAAATGGATTATGGTAAAAAGTACCAGCTCCCTGAGTGCCGGTACGCAGTTGCATATTTTTTTTTATAATATAAAGATCAAAAAGTTTAAAATTCTTGCTTAGAATGAGTCTCTGAATTAGCTTGGTAAAAATTTCAATCGTGGTGAATCGTAATGCTGTTAAAATTTTCTGCTATCTTAAAATGCTTCAAATTGAATCATATTATCGTAAATCTTTTTTTCCCCTCCCAATGCCCACCTGCGTTAACATTCGTCAATTCAGGCTTATACACGGCGATTTTCCTGGCCTCTCTTTCAGGGGCACCATATTAGGTGGGCCAACGTCGCTCCCACTTTGACGACAGATAGTACAGAGAAGGAAAGAACATCCATGCCTTGCCCGGGATTCGAACCCAGAACCTTTCGGATCCAAGGACAGTTCCCTGCCCCCTACACATGACGGTCGGCTTATCGTAAATCTTAAACTTCACAGGTACATGTTACCTACTTGGCACAATTTTGAAAAAAGTCGCCAATGTCGAAATGACGCTTGTCGCCAAACTATTATACCAACGCGATGGAGCGTTTTTACAATTCTTGGCAAGAATTGGTGTAGGCAAAAATATAGAAAATCATAACTTGACAATGACTAATACATAAACAAATCTCAAACTCAACTGCAAAATCATACTCCGATTCCTAAAATGCAAAATGGCTAAAAAGCAATAACCCACCTCATACATCATGCCCATGACAATCTCTTGTCAAATTTATAACAACAGACAGCAAACTTAATTGCTTTTCCAAACATCGGTAATGTCACCAAATCCACCGTGTAACCTACACTAGGATCAAGCCAAACTTAATAACATGACAACATGTTTCAAGTAGAACGGAAACATGGTACACATTTTTAACTTATTAAGGTTACAGCAAAATTGTACCGTATTATTGTTCACCGTTAAATAAATTTTTCTGAGAGTGTACTTTTAAAGAAATGCGTAAATTTATGACTAGTATCTTAAATGTTAGAATATCATCATGGCAAAAAGATAGAAACAAAGTTCCTTTATAGCTTTACTTTCGAGGAATAAATCGCTTCAAATTTTGATTTTGTTTTTCGTAAATAATTATTCATGATAATTTTGTATTAGATTGAAAACAGCAACTAGTCTGAAATCAATTGGTTACCACTGCAAAAAAGGAAACTTTAGTTTCTTGCCAAACATTAAAATTTGAAAATTTTAAATTTGATAAATGCTCATAAAAACAAATTTTAAAAATATATAATAAATTTGACTGTTTTTGTGGAATTACCGAAAACTTAATAAAAATACCAAAGTTAGTGAACTGTAAACTTCTACGTATATTCTATGTATTCTCTGTAATCGTCTTCCTGAAGTATAGCTAACTGAACTGAATTTCAATAGAATGAAATGTATATATACCATCGTGAAATTTTGTTCTTTCTCTCTTTTGCGCTTTGCCTTACATCAATTCTTTTGTTCTATGCGTTTGATTACAATCCTGGAAGTTTTTAATTTAGTTGTTAAAATGTTATTTTAGTTATGTTAAATTTCGCATTTTTCCTTTTTTTAATCTTTGACAAGTGACGTATCTAAAATGCAGACTTTAATACACACAACCGATCTCGCCAGATATAAGTGGTGACCTGGACGTGATGTGAACATGTCTACTTTGACTGAAACTCCCACTTCGACATGAACACGCCTATCCTAACAGTAACGCCCACTCCGATCTGAACACGCCTACTTCTATGGAAGGTCAACATTGAACAGTTGACTTGCTACTTGTGACTACGACATTATCCACCTCCTCGCGCTGCTGCTGCTCAGTCTCAATCACACACAACGTATACAATCGACGACTAAAGACAACACAGGAGCGACCACGATCGTGAACTTAATACAGCTCTCATGATCAGCACTGAAAAGTACGGTGCTCTTAACACGGCTCTCCCGGCTTTTCACAAATCAACTAGTGGAATTCATTCATCGAATTCTATCACAGCTATAATTCTGGTGGGGGAGTACTGTAGTGTGTCTACCACTTTAAAAATGCAATTCCAATTTACTAGTTTATAATGCATGTTAACTCGGGCAAAGGGCCACTCAGGCACTCCGACCAACCTACAGGACTAGGACTAGGTCGTTTATATATTGGGGTACCTTTTCATACATAAAGGTTGACAATGGCGATATCTACTCTCCCCACAGATTTAACATAAATACTTACTTAACTTTAAATCACTTACCGTTTCCAGCTCCAGAAACTAACTTCCGTTTCCGATCAAAGCAAATATCCATTTTTATAGTTTATTTTTTGAAAAATTTGAATACGTGAATTGATTTTTTTAAACTTCTGTTATCGTTTTTATTGCCTATAATATGTACAAATACAATATTTATATATATAATATTATTTGCTTGTAATGAATAATAAATAAGTAAATCTTAAAACTTAAATTTCTTTAAAAATATTATCAAACAATCTCTCCATTAAGAATTAAGGATAAATTAAAAAAATTAATAAAAACATACAACGTTTCAGAAACCTTATTCCTAAAAGGTAATGATAATAATAATATCAGTTTCAAAACTTAAGATAAAGTTGTCAGCAAAAATAACAAGAAATTTTATTCATTTCATTTTTACATTCCATTTTTATTCATTCCTTAGCGTAATCTAACAAAAATGAAGCTGTGAGGGACAAAATTAATACTCAGAATCACAGCACTTTCAGTAGAGATTTTATTTAACTCTGAAAAACGAAATTTCAGTATTTGCTTCTGAATATAAAAAAATCCCTACATTTTGCTTTCTTCTAAATCCCTCTTCTAAAGAAAATATTGGTTCAAGACCTGTACAATACTGGAAGAGAGTAGAAAATAAAATAGATTCACCCAGATCGTCCGGTGCTTCGAACTTCAACTACGTGAGATATATTCTGTGTTCTACCGCTAACCACAGAAGTATTAATCCACTGACAGTTCTGCATGTAAAAAGTGTATTTTAACCTGCAGTCTTCTCCGCATAGCAAAACTGGTTTTTCTTAGCAAATAGATAGGAAAATAGTGAATAAAGGAGAACATTTACCCATTTTCTAAACCGCCAGAGGGTTAAAAACATTATGAGGCATAATGGGACAGAAGGTAATTTTGGTAGAAGCGTGTCTTCACTGGAAAAGAAAGCTATCACGATCTTCAATAAAAAACATTAAACCTTTTTTAAGTAAGATTTGCTATACAAGTTTAATGTCGAAATATAACTTTATATTAATCAAATTAAGATTAATAAAATGGCAGTGTTAAAGTCCGAAGTATGCTTCAGTATGTGTCCATTAAATAATCTTTAATTTCGGAATATTATAAAAAAAATTTCAGTAAAACCTAGAATTTATCAACGTCTTCTGGTAAAATTCTGGAGGTATTTCAGTTCATATATATTTTGGATATTATACCGTTATAAGAGGTCGTAATAAATTACCATATCTCAGTTATGTGGATTCGGGAACACGGCAGCAATCCTTCGCTTAATGGTCAGTATAAGAAATACCGTAACCATATAAAAATTAGTGTTGGGTGTACCATAAGAACGTATACCGGACAGTGGTGCATAACCTTAAAAAACATCAATATTGAAAATTCGGGTCCGTGACACTTAACCTTAAAAAAACATCTGTTTAGAGTAAACCGGACAATTGCACTCCACATCCCTTGAGTAATTAAGTTATTTCAATTGACATAATTTATAGTCATTGTGATTGATTGATTGTTATACCAAGCAATGGCACTTCACATCCGTTGATTGTTCAGATTATTTAAGATAATATTATAACAGCGATTATGATTAATTGAATATTATGCCTCGTGTTTATTCGCCAAAAGCAGTTTAACCATATCCAATGACTCCATTTAACAGAAGAGTATCATATATTGTGAACAGTATGTTTTAAAAAAGTTAAAATACATTATATTTTAGGCAAAATATTATAATTGATCATGAAATGATTATTAAATGATTTCATAAATTGTAAATTGATCAAAATAATGTATGCGTTAAGATTATGTCGCTGGAACTATCTAAAAATTATTTATCTAAGATTATTTTATAGATATTATATTGAATACAAGATTTATAATTATTGGACAAGAAATTTAAAAAACAATAATTGAAATACTTTTTCCTTTTCACAAATAGGATCCCATGTGAAAAACCTGTACTAATACTCAATTCTCTTAATTACTACTGAAGATACTCCAATAAATTTTTAAAAATAATTTTGGTAGTAGTCACACAAAAAATCGTTTCAAGCTTGTACCTGAAATTGTTAGAAAGTCCAAGAATTTATCGCAAAAATTAGGTAAAATGTCCGAAATGAAATGAAGCATACT